CATAGAATACCCCTCATTTTGGATTTGCTTAACTGTTTCCGCATGCTTGGATTTAAGGAAATGATGTGTTTATGGCACGTGTACAATGATCAAAATGTCATGGAAAATGAAATTAAAAGCAAGTTTACTTTGTTGCAATAAATTTTAGAGTCTCTGTGGCTTTCATAGTAGTCATTTTCCATGAATCTTCTGGAGAGCTTTTGCAATCTGGAGGTGACGCGAATGGGAAAAGAGGACCCAGTCAGGAGGCATGTGATGTCGGGTTGTCTTGTGCTGAGGGTAGTAATGTTGGTCACTTGAGTGAGGTTGTGGTTTGCCAGCTTTCTCCATTCTAAGGGTGCTTTTTTTTTCTTTTACAATTAATAATGTGTGAGGAGACACACTGAGAACCTATGAATACCCGCATCTTCCGGAAGCTCTCACATGGTAATTTCAGCAAACAGTCGGTGTTTGGTGGAATCAGCTATTACTGTGATGATTCTCAAACTGTATGTCTGTTTCCACAATTTCTGTATTTATTAATTACAAGTCTTTTTTAAAAAGACCTATTAATTTTTATTTGGAAAAGTAGATTTCCAGTGAAGAGGAAAGAGACAGAAAGATCTTCCATCCACTGGTTCGCTCCCCAAGAGGCCACAACAGCAGAGCTGAGCTAATCAGGAGCCAGGAGCCTGGAGTTTCCTCGGGGTTTCCCACGTGGGAGGAGACTTTGGGGCCATCCTCCACTGCTTTCCCAGGCCACAAGCAGAAAACTCCCTGCTGTGAACTGGCTGGCGCCCCTGTGGGACACTTGCAAGGGGAGAATAGCCAATTGAGCCAAGTGCTGGGCCCTAATTACAAGCCTTTTGTAAAAGAAACCTTTTGCTCCCCACCATTTAACTCCGTCTAATCTCATCCAGCTAAGGCGGGCAGCCGGTTGTGGGAAGAAGCATTTCTGATGGAGTTGTGCTGAAATCTTAGACCACTGCTTACTAGCCCTCAGACTATGGCAAAGTACTTGATCTCTGTGTGCCTCTGCAGTGTGCCTGGTCTGTGAAAACGCAGGGCATCAGGGATTTGCCCTGAACGCCCATGGTGAGTATTGAGCATGGGAGTGGGGGGGAAGATGTATGAAGTAGTTTCTGGTACCTGGTAAGTGCTCAGTAAAGCTGAGTCATGACTAAATTAGACAGAGCTGGTCATGAAGGGAAGGCGGCTGTGAGATAGGGGAGGCTGTGGCCGCCTTGCACTGTGTATATGCCTGCGTATTCGCATGCAAACCTGTGCGCAAGCATGTATAGTTCATGGTCAACAGTGTGGCTGTACAGAAGAGACATACCAGGTATGCTTGATGAAACTACTTTATTCCTATTTGTTTAGTAACCTGTGTATACATTTACATCTCTCTCTTGTGTGTCTAAATAAAAATATGCCCATTCGTTAAAATTATGTGTTAGGACCTAAGTGTTCTTGCCTGGAAAACACACAGAGTGACATAGGAGAGTGGCAGCTGCTTTGTCAGGAGTGAGCCAAAGCATAGACTTCCCTTCCCAATTCTAACACAGATTTATATTGTTGCCATTATCAGCAAATTTATTTAGCTTTATATAGAAAACTTTCCAAGATTCAGTTTATTCCATATAAAAAGAATCCCAACCGAATACAGTAAAACTGGAATTTCCCTCAGAAGTTCCATGCCCAGTTCACCTGGGCATATGATGGCAGTAGCTCTGGGTAAAGAATTCCAAAACCAAGCTGGAGGCAAAGCAGATTTAAAAGAAAAAAAAAGATTTATTTATTCTTATTGGAAAGACAGATACACAGAGAGGAGGAGAGACAGAGAGACAAAGAGCTTCCATCTGATGATTCACTCCCCAAGTGACCGCAGTGGCTGGAGCTGAGCTGATCCAAAGCCAGGAGCCAGGAGCTTCTTCAAGGTCTCTCACACGGGTGCAGGATCCCAAGGCTTTGGGGCTGTGCTCAACTGCTTTCCCAGACCACAGGCAGGGAGCTGCATGGGAAGCGGGGCTGCTGGGATTAGAACCGGCTCCCACATGGGATCCTGGTGCATTCAAGGCAAGGACTTTAGCTGCTATGCTATCTTGCCAGGCCTACAAGGCTGGTATTTTTCCCGCCAGTTTGCACCTGCTATTGAAAGGCGATGGCTTTGTCATCCATCTACCTCTTTGAGGAAGACACAGCTCACTGGTAAACATCAGTAAAATGCCACAAGAGGAGAAAGTGGCATCTTTAAACTTCATTCAGTTAAACTGAAAATCACTCTCCTAGCTTCACACAGCCCCCTTGAACTAGGTGATAGATCAGGTAGAAGAGGCAAGCGAGTCCAGTGCAGTGACGGGGCAGGGGGGAGGCCTGGAAAAGCTGTAACAAGCGTACTGTGGCAGACAGGTGAGGTGATGGTGTGGCGTTAGAGAAGGCAGTTAAGTACAATGTGTGAAGGCTTTGGGACAAGAGGCAAATGAATTGGTTTCATCCCCCATCAGGGAGCGAGCTGTGAGTCCAGGCCAGGGAAGCAAGTGCAGCTTACTAGCCCAGTTACAGGGCTCAGGTTTTCTTATGGGCAAAATGCTCACTCATGCTGCCTCTTTGGAGTTTACATTTAGCTTCTCTGAAAGTCAGTGTTGCAGAGAGAAAGGGAGAGGTGTGAGGAGGAAGAGGCCTTGCATCCATGGACAGGCTCACTCCCCGGAGCTCTGCCTTGGTCTTTCACATGGGTGGCAGGAATCCGAGTGCTCGGACCACCCTGTCCTACTTCCCAGCAGCTTAACAGGGGCTGGAATCAGAAACTGGAATTTGGTCCCAGGCACCCTGGAAGGAGAGCACCCCAATGAGCTTCTTAACGCACTGTGCCACAAAGCTTGCTCCTTGAGTAGCCTTCATAGAGGTTTTTGAGACTCACTCACTAGCCTGGAAAGGGTGTGGTAGCAAATGCATTGTTCTTTTTGGTTAGAAAGAAGTGCAATTATTCTGTTCCATGTCCTCAACCTAGTGGATTTCTCTTCTCCAAGAATATCATCACTTTCTCCTTGCCCCCCCCCCTTCAGTGTTGGCCTCAGTCGTGTTTTGCAGAGAGCTTTTGGAGATGTGAGCCTGCACGGGCCTAAGCTGGATGAACTTGGCTAACACTAGGCCTTCAGGTGTTTTCAGGCACTCCGTCGGGACTTGGGCAGAATTCTTTGAGTGTTAATGTCAGTTTTCACACATCTGTCATTTTACTCATTTCATGTTCACATTTGTGTCTGCAGGGTTTGTTTTCAGCCGAATATCTAGAAAATAAAAGGTCTTCAAGATTTATAGTAGAAGTTCATCTTAGCAGAGGCCAGGGACCTTTCTTCTGTCAAGTGCCATTTGGATATTTACAACATCATTTGCAAGCCCCACAAAATGATCAACTGAAAAATGTAACCTGTTATAGGTGTGTTGGACCTGGAGGCCCCTCTTCCCATGGTTGCTTTGATAGGGCCAGACCAAATGATAGCACAGGCCTTATGTTGCCTGTGGGCCAGATGTTCTCCACCCCTCTTTAAGGTTAAAGGAGGCACAAGAATAGAGGACTAGTGCTTGGAGCACCTGTCTGCTGTACTTCCAGTGCTAGCGGGAGGAGTCTGCATCCTTGGGGGCACGAAGGATGAGCTATACTTCTCAGGGGCTGCAGGGTGAGGTCTTGTCCTTTCCACTGGCTTGTGATTCTGTACACTGGGGTGAGTGGAGAGTGTTTCTAGAGTTGCCAAGGATGTGATGCGCTGATGTCCTCTTTGCTGCCTTCCCGTCTGCACTTCTTCAGTGAGACTAAGGCCCGTTACTCTGCATTACACCCATCAGGAGGCATAGTGGCTACAGCGTAGAGACCTTTCCTTCCCTCACTGTGATGGCACGCTGTGCCCGGAGATCATATCTGCTGTCACTTCCTCTCTCAGGGAGAAGATGAGAAAAGAGAAACAGTTCCAGTAGGCAGTATCCAGAAATACCTGGAGCATTTCTAACCGTGCTTCTTTGAAGCCCTCCATCCTGTTGGATGTGGTGGCAGCAAGGCATGGTGTGAGGCTATCAGCCATGGGCAACCAGCTCGGGAGCAGCGTGGTTCCCTTTCCAGTCCTGTCCTCCTTCCCTAGGCTTGCAACCCCACTGCGGCATGTCTGTCTCTGCTGTGCATGCCTCTGCCATCCCCGGCCTGCAGAGTGTGTATTTTCCCCACAGTGCGCAGCCAAGTATGGCTGTTCCATGGACAGTTGCATCTGTAGTATGAGCCAGGGCTTCCCAGGTGGGCCCACACCGAGGGAGTGAGATGGTGCAACTGTGGAGTGTCCTCCAGTCAAACCAAGTGTGGTCCTGGCTTCTGTGTGGATTTTCCTGGGTTACTTGTGTGCAAGCAGCCAGGGAGCCTATTTATGAGTCCCCTGGGATGGAAAGAGGAGACCAGAAGTAGATTGGTTGAACCCCTCGGGGGAGTTTGAAATGGTGTCTAGAGCAGGCTGCAATTGAATTGGCCTGTTTATCAGGCCCCAGTCTCGGCATGTTGAAAGGGTGATGATTAGGAAGAGAAAGGCCAGGAGCCTTTATCTGTTCCTTTGCACCTTGGGGAAGAAGCCCCCTGCCTTGCTAGCATCAGAAGCAGACCATTCTTTTTTTCTCTAAGCACATCGCATCAGCTTTCATTAAAACCCAGCAGCAGCAAATCTAAAGCCCCATCCATGGAAAACCGTTTAAGGCAACACTGTGCTCCAGTGCTTCGGGGTGGGGCCTCTGCCTTCTGCACCGTTGGATCAGTTTCTCATGTCCATGCCTCTTTGGCCCAGCAGCTTTTAAAAGACCAAGAAGCATTGCTCTGCTTTCTCCTGCCTCTCTCTTAAGGGACCAGGGCTGCTGTGCCTCTAGTCATGTCCCAGAGAGATATCTGAGACCAGTCAGCTTAATTTGCCTGCATGCCTAGGAAGCCTCTCTTCTGAAGTCTGAATTTGCGAGATGAGCTATGTCTAAATGCTTTTGTTTTTCCCATGCAGGCGAACGACGGAGACGGCGGTGTCAGGTGGCATTCAGCTACCTGCCCCAGAATGACGATGAGCTGGAGCTGAAAGTTGGCGACATCATAGAGGTGGTAGGCGAGGTAAGTGAGCTGCTGGGTGGTCCCGTTGCCTCCTGTGTGTGGTCAGAGCTGCCAGCCTGCCTCTGCTGCCCAGGAGCCCTTACTGCACATGTGCAGGCTCTGTGGCCTTGACACTGCAGGTATTGGAGCTCCAGGAGACCTTATGCATCAGCAGGTTGAGTCCCCTATGTGAGGAAATGAGTTCCCACAGAGGGATGCCACCAGTCCCGTCGGGATTCAATGGGAGGCCGTTTGGCACCCTTGTCCTTCTAACACAGCCTGTTGAGTAGCTCGGAGGTTCCAACCTAGTGCCATCAGCTTTCTCTTCTGCTTTAGCGAACAGAAGGTTCTAGGTGTCTGGACCTGGATTCATCTCTCAAGTATGAAGTAAGTGTTTGTTCTGGGGGATACTATGGAATACCAACGGAAGGAAAAAGAAGTGATGTATATGACGAGCAGATGTGCATCTGTGGCATGTGTGACAGTCATCACGTTAGTGCTCAGGCTCATCTCAGCCACTTTGTTGTGGAGGTGAGGAGAGGCTCAGGGGACTCTGGCCAGTGCAGGCTGAGGCAGCAAAAGGGGGCAGGTGCCTCTTCTTGGGGAGCGGGACCCTCGCTCCCTCCTCTGCACCACAGACCCTTGTCCTGTTGCCCCTGGCTCTGCAGAACCAGCCCTGCTGGGGAAATGGCTCTTCCAGTCCCGGGGTGGGCTTTTCAGGTTTCACTCTCTGAAAGGCCTGGACAGTAGCAGGCTTTTAATTTAGGGCATCATCATTTACTCATTTTTTTTTTAAAAAAGATGCATTTATTTACTTGAAAAACAGAGTGCCAGAGACAGAGTGACATCTATCCACTGGTACACTCCCTAAGTGACTGCAATTGACCCAGTCTGGTTCAGGCTGAAGCCAGCAGCCAGGGACTCCATCCGGGTGTCCCACATGGTTTCAGGGACCCAATCCTCAGGCTGTGTTTCCCTGCTTTCCTAGCAGATGAATGAAATATGGAGCAGCCAGAACTTAAATCAGCACTCATAAGAAATGATAGCATCCCAGGTGGCAGCCTAACCCGCAATGCCACAACATTGGACCCTGGTAGTTCATTCTGATTCAGTGCTTGCATAGGTGGAATACCCCTTATCTGAAATGCTTGCAACCATAATAGTTAGAGACTTCAGGGTTGAGATTTTGGAATGCTTTCTTAAAGTTAACTGATTGAATCTCCCTACCCTGAAAATCTAAGACTTGAAAAAGTACTGCAAACTCCAAAACTTTTGAGTATCAGGAGTAGATTGGTTTTAGATTCTGGAGTGTTTCTGAATCAGGGATACTCAGCTTGTGTCTGTGTATAGAAATATAATTTTATGAATATCATTTAGCCTTACAGAAGCCCATGATGTATACAAAATGACCCCAGATGCTAAGGAAGACTCTTAGTGACCTGTTGAGTGGCTGGAAGTGGCAGGGTTGCTGCTAGAAGCTGAATTTCCTGACTCAACTATCCTAACATGAGCACAGTGAGAGTTTTATTCAACCCATTAATGAAGGGATCTGGAAGATGGTAAGACTGACTCAAAGAGAATTTAAAAGAGCCAAGTATTTAAAATAACCAGAAGGAAACACGCTTGGCTGAGACTGCTAGATGCAAAACTCTGTGATAGCGTGCAGAACGATAACATGATGGCCGTTGAAGTGTTATCTTTCCTGCAGGGACATACTGTTTGCATCTCTGTAGGTCAGAGTGTATTTTTATTGCCATCTGACAATTACTTGCATTGCTTTTAGTTTCTACCAGTTAGCATCCTCACCAACAGAGTGGTTAGCAAGCCTTATAAATAATGGTGTACCAGACAAAGACACCTGTCCCTAGGGAAGCAGCTAATGGGGTTCCCAGTGTGTTGCTGGGAGGCTATGTGTAAGTTATTTTCTAGTTTTGGAATATTTGTATTATTGTGTCACTCATTTTTTGTAATCCCTGTGTCATGCAGGGAACAAAGGAGATAGTAAGAGATGGGTGAGTGACAAATGTATGGTTGGCAGAGTAAAACGTTCATTTCAGTGATAGAAGGACACATTCCATAAGATTGTCACTATGAGAGAAATTAAAAGGGAAAAGATATAAACAGATATAACTACTTTTAAAAAAGTAAAATTTTCAGTAGTATAGCTCATGAAAGATATTGACAAATCAGAAAAAAATGTAATAATGACAAAATTATATAACATAAAAATGTACTAGGAAGTGGCTATGATAATGAGAAATGATAAATTTTCCATAAACAAATCCCACAATGTAAAGCCTAACTGTGAGAAAATGTTACATCCTCATTAAAGAAATACAGAATAAGACAATATGTAGGAAAAATGTGACACAGTGTTTATTAGTAAGACTGGTGACAAAGCTTACAGTACCGAAGGATTTGTTTATCTATGTGATTCTTGCATGAAGCTGCTTAACAAGATGTATTAAGAGCTGTGAAAATCTGAATAATACTCTTTGATACCATGACTTCATTCATAAGAATTTATTTACAGAAAATGATTAGCAAAAGAAAAAAATGGGAACCATAGTAATTATATCGGTGTTTACAGTAATGAAAAATATTCAAGAAAGAATATTAAATTGTTCAGGTATTATCCTGCTAGATTATGAAGCCATTAAGATGGTATAAATACAGGGGACCTTAAATGTGTATTTATTATGATACCTTGCATTGTAATTATCTGTTATATTCCACTAAACTGAGCGCTTTCCAGTGGCTGGGACCTGGTTTCTAACTGTGTTTATATTCATTCTACCTGGAAGAGTGCCTGAAACCCATTGGGAACATTTTATAAATGTTTACTGAATAAGCAAGTGAACAAATGGAAAGATAAAAACAGTGCTTTGTAAAATAAATGAACAGATCAGAACACAAAATTGCACACACTAAGATACAATCATGTAAGATATATTTACATGTATGTCATCAAAGAATGAGAGGGAACAAGAATTTAAAACGATCCTGTTGAATTTTTCATATACAGATGCTTTAAGAAGAAATACAAACCTGAAAAAATAAATACAAAATAAGGAAAGGAAGATGGTAACATTTGTGAGAGCAGTTATTCACTTTCAGCTCCCCCATGGCGATGACACAGCATTGGGACTGTCCTCACCTTGGTGATAGGAAGCCTTTGCCACCACCTACCACCAGCAGAATGCCAACCCCCTAATTTGAGAGCCTCTCTCCCTGTGGTGGTGGTTGAATTGGTGAACTTGGTTGCACTCAGTCTGAATAATTTAAGTAAGGGATGAACAAAGCTACCTTGTCTGTTTTTCTTATGGTTTATGAGTTTATTTCTCAGTGGTCCTCAGTCAGTCTGGAAACAGAGGCCTGCAGGATCTGATTTGAAGCCCAGCTTGAGCATGTGGTTTGTAGAAACAATAACTTGAACCTTGGGAAACCTGCACCTTGCTTCTTGTGTCTCCAGACATTCATTCATTCACTCAGCAAGCGCTAAGTCCCCGAGATCCTTTAAAGTCTTAACTCAATCAGACAATATTTTTGGGTATGACTGGCAGTTCTTCCTTATTTCATTTTTGCCCATGAAGAAATCAAATTCATTTAAAATCTGTTTGCAGAGAAGGTGAAGGGAGCAGAATAGAAACCCCAGAAAGGAGCCCACACATGTACAGCCAACTAATCTTTGACAAGAAAACTGAAAGTAATCCAGGGGGAAAAAATCTGGTCTCTCAGGACAATAGGATAGAAACCTGCAGAGGTAAGAAGCCCCCTGCCCCTACCTGTCACCTTACACAAAAATCAGCTCTAAATGAATCAAGGACCTAAATCTGCACCCACAAATCCTCAAGCTATTAGAAAAGTAGAACATAGGCAGCACTCTCCAAGATGTAGGAATGGGGAAAGACTTCTTGGAAAAGATACCAAAAGCACAGGCGGTCAAAGCCAAAATAAACAAATGGGACTATATCAAGCTGAGAAGCTTTTGTACAGCAAAGGGAACGATCAGCAAAGTGAAGAAGCAACCAACAGAATGGGAGAAATTCTTTGCACACTATACAACTGACAAAGTACTAATATACAGGATTTATAAAGAGCTTCAGAAACTCAACAAAAGCAAAACAAACAACGCTGTGAAGACATGGGCAAAGGAAATGAACAGACATTTTGAAAAGAACAAATCAAAATGGCTAATAGACATATGAAAAGATGCTCAGGCTCCCTAGCTGTCAGGGAGATACAAATGAAAACAACATTGAGGTTCCACCTAACTCCAGGGAGATTGGCCTACATTCAGAACTCTACTAGCAACTTCTGCTGGCATGGATGTGCAGAGAAAGGTGCCCTCCTACACTGTTGATGAGAGTGTAGGCTAGTACAACCACTATGGCAATCAGCATAGAGAGTGCTAAGAGAACTGAAAAGTGACCAGCTATCCCACTTCTGGGAATATATCCAATAGAAATGAAATCTGTATATGAGAAAGGGATATGTAATCCTGTATTTTCAGCAGCACAATCTACAATATCAAAGACATGGAAACAACCCAGATGCCCATCCAAAGAGGAGTGGATAAAGAAACTTTGGTACAGCTACTCCATTGAATGCTATTCAGCCATTAAAAAGAATAAAATTCTACTATTTGCAATCAGATGGTCCCAATTAGAGATCATTATGCTCAATGAAATAAGTCAATGCCCAAAGGACAAATACCATATGTTCTCTCTGATATAAGGCAGCCTTCATGCAAAACACAAGATCAATAGCCCTCTCCATACTGTTTTTGCCATATCTCATGGGTTTTGATATTTTTGTTTTTATTTTCATTTCTTCAAAAATGTTTTTTTCTTATTCATTGACTCATAGGTCATGTAGTAGCATTGGTTGCTTCAAGGTTTTTGATTTTCATTTCTTTAATGGCACATTGGTTATTCAGGAGCATGTTATTTAACTTCATGTTGTAATTTTCTATTTTTCTTCCTGCTTATTTTGTTTTGTGGCTTTTCATTTAAGGGGAT